GCCCACGGGCTCGCAGGCTGCTCGGACAGGGAGTTACCTTCAACAGGAAGAAATCGCTTTTTATCACTGAATAAATATCCCAAACCGGGATTATTCAGGAAGAATTGCTCTGCGTCTGGCTCACTCCGTGGTCTCATTCAGAGCTATCTGTCAGTAGCACTGCTCCAGTGCTTGCAATCAAATTTTTTCTCAATTTATGGTTCCTCCCCAACCTGACCCTAACATCCACCTTTCCCCATCACCAGGTTTTGCGGAAAGGGAGATTTTTAGCAGATTTCCACCTGTAACGCTGCAGTGCTGGCAACAAGAGAACTGCTTGGGCCATGAAGCTGAGGAACACGCTGAGCAGATGCCACTGCGAAACCCTAAACTCGTTTTGCTAAGGCACAGCAGAAACAGACCCACCAGCTACGGAAACTGCCAACGAACGAAAGGCTGCAAAGGATTTTGTTATGTTAAAAAGAAAACAAACTACATACATTAGAATACTTACTTTGCATTTATAGAGCATCCTTCATCCAGGGACATCAAAGCACATTAAAAACACTTAAATTCTTATGACACACTGCACCAGGTGGCAAATACACGCTCCGGAAAGGACAATTCGCAGCGTAACGATGTTAAATGAGCTCCCTGAGTTCATGCAGCTAGTCCGTAGCACAGCTTGCAGCTGAAAATCCCCCGGCGATGCCCCGGCTGCTGCACCTTTTACCGGGCTGCCAGGCTACCGCGCTGCCATGCCGCGCCGTCCCAGCCCGTACCGACGCCTGCTGCCTTCTCTTGCCAAATTCCCCACGTGCGGACGGGCTGCTTGCTTTCCCCTGCCCTGGATGGTTTCTTTCATTCTTGCAACCAAGTTTTTTTGCCCACGGAGTTCTTGAAGTTGGTGGAGACCAGAAATAACTTTTTTTAAGAGCCGCCAAATTCCATCAGGCTGCTCCGGTCCCTAAAGCAATGAGCTATGAGACACTCACCCTGGGCGAAAAGCAGGGATGTGAGTCTTTCCTCCAGAGCTCGACGCAGCGGGATGTACATGCCCAGCTCTGCTGCTGCTTCCGCTGGGAAGTTTTCCATTTACTCTCAGCAGGTCCACGGGAACTGGCTCCCATCTCACCAGCAACATAGCTCGGCAGGGATGGGCAATTTGGTTTGAAAAGCAAAACAAAATAAATACAACAGGCTCCAACCTGTGTTCTGTTGCCTGAAATAACCTGAAAGGGTTTGCTTTGGATCCGCGTCAGCCAAGGGGACCTTCTGCGGAGATGCTCATGGAGGGGATGGAGCGGAGGCAGCTGCCAGCACCCGCGGGACATCTCATGGGGAGGAAACTCTTTCCTCACACTCATCGGTGGCTTCCTCTGCTGTTGCCTTTACACCCATCATCCCTCCTGGGGACAAGCCTGAACCAGGGACACACAGAGATCCTTTCACCTGGGGCATCACTCCCGTGCCAAGAGGTCCAGGCAGAGTGCAGGTGAGGAGCAGAAGGATGCCCCTTGCCTGGGCTGACGTTAATCCAGGCCTGTGCAAACACGCTCTCTCATCCATCAGCGATTCCCTGTGGGATTTGCCTGGCTCCACGGATGGGAGAGCGGAGCCCAGAAGGGATGGGGCCACAGCTTGCCAGCGTTCCCTGCCTCTGTGCTCAGCTGGCTGCCGACTGCTTTTCCCACCCCGCCAGTGAGTGGCCACTGGTTGGGCTGGCACAGCCCAGTCGGGATGCTCAATACGGAAAAATAAAGAATTAAAGGGGGATTTTCAGATAAATTTGTCTTTTTAGGGAAAAGGCCTGCAAAAAATGCCAACTCACTGGAAAACTAAAACTGCTCAGTCTGCACTTTGGTTTTGTACAAAAGGTCACTGTTTTCCGCGACGATAACTCCTCCTGCGTCCAGCTCCGGTTCGGAGCACGCACAAGCCTTCGTAGCTAGCGAGCCTCGCAGGGCCACCGCGGCCGAAGGGCCTGATCCAGAGCCCAGGCACCGGCGGACGGCTCCTCGCTGACCTGACGGGCTCTGTAACATGAGCTGCATCCAGATAAGGAAAACCGTGTGGGGCAACGACCTCGGACGGATAACATCTCCCTTTTAAATTGTGTGCTATCATTAACTGTTTTATTATTAAATACTTCTGCCGCACAACACAGCACCTCCTCATCCTGCTCTTTCCCCTCGCAAGAGATCTGCTCTGCCCAGGATTATCCTAACAAGCATC